AAAACTTTACAATAATATAGTTCATACATGATAATAAGAAATCGGCTACTTTTCATCCTGGAAAATTAAAGGGTTCCCGTGGGACAGTCAAAAAAACTATAGTAACGGAACGGAAGTTACGGATGCTTAGCGTTACGTACAAAACTCTTCTACTTAAGACTTTAGTGTAGCGATGGCGGATTTATAAGTAGCGATCTACTTTCATTTAAGTTTAGCTCTAACTAAAAAGCTTACTAAATCAAAATAAGCTAGATATAAAGATTTACTCATAAGTTGTACAGGAGCTTTTTTTAAATCACCACGAGCTTAATAAAAAATTAAAAAAAACAACTGGATTCAATAAATAATGTATGGTAATAAAGAAATGAAATTTTGCAGTAGTTTCTAGGGTTTTTGAAAATTCATCACATAAATAAATAGGGGATGAAATTATATCGAACCTTAGTCATTTTTAAAGTTTCAGACATACAAATTGATGTGAAAGCTATTGTATATAATGTTCATAAAGGGTATAATCTCACGGGATTGCTTGCTTGAGAATTTATAACATAGTAGGTCAAAATCAAACTCTAACTTTAATAATTACTGTAGAGTTTTTTATACTAAATTTTAGCCAATAATACTATTTTCTGTTCATTAATTTTAGTAAAAATATTCTTTAAAATTCCTATGGTAATCAAAATCGAAATTAATATATTAATGTCCTGATCAGAACTATACATTACCTAAAATGTAACAAATTATTATAAAAAAATCAGGATCACGGAAACTACAATATTATTATGCTATATTTTCTGCTTAAAGAAATGTAAATGTAACTTTTCGTCGCGGTTTCCTTTATTTAGATTAAATTGGACCCTTTCGTTTTGGTAGGGTATTTGATGCCCTACAAAAACATTTTTGTTATTTTCTTTTGAAATTCTAAACTTCGTACAGCCAAATTCATCTTGTAATTATTTTTGACCCATTTATTTGAATTGTAATCTATACTAATATTATAAAGAGGTAAAGTTTGTGATCTTGTGAGTTTGTGAGTTTGTGAGTTTGTGGGTTTGTGAGTTTGTGAGTTTGTGACGTTGTAGGGGGTAATCTCTGGATCTACTGAACCGATTTTCAAAATTCTTTTACCAATAGAAAGCCACGTTCTTTCTGAGTGTCATAGGCTATATATTAACCCGAAAAATGAAAAGGGTTTTTCGTGGTAGTCGGATTTGCAAAGTAAGTCGGAGAAAAAACGGTCGAACGGAAACGTTTCTTACGAACGCTGCCTTAACGATGAGAGATATATGATTATGTTCTACAGAAAAGTTGTAGAGCTTAATAATGCCTACAAAAAAGTCAGCGACAGCATATGTCTAACTTTTATATTTAAGTCACAAAAAGTAGTTTTTTATATTAAAAAAATCATTTAAATCGGTAGGTCATGTTTATTGGTCATATTATCAACAATTATGAATTCTTATCAAAATAAGTAAATTTATCGTCTAAAATGCTTAAAATAAAAGACTTTTCCCTTTTACTGCATATAATTTGGACAAATGGTTAAAGAGATAATACAACATATTCGTATGTATGGACGAACCCGAGCGAGCTGTTTATCTGTTTTTCTCTTTGTACGGGCTAATCTACGGATCTATTGAACCTATTTAAATAAAATTTTGCATAGTGGTACCTTATATCCCCGGGCAACATCTTAGATACTTTTCATCCTGGAAAATTAAAGGGTTCCCGTGGGATAGTTAAAAAACTATAACAACTTATACATCTTAGTATACGAAAACTACTAATTGGATTTTAATGAAACTTTACAATAATATAGTTCATACATAACAAAAACAAATCAGCTACTTTTCATCCCGGAATATTAAAGAGTTTCCGTGGGAGAGTCAAAAAACTATAGTAACTTATACAGCTTAGTACACAAAAACCACTGATTGGATTTTGATGAAACTTTACAATAATATAGTTCATACATCAGAATAACAAATAGGTAACTTTTTATCCCGGAAAAACGTACTTTTCCCGTGGGATAGATGTTTTTGTTTATTTGTAACGTATTATGTACACGACATAGACCCCAAAACAATAGTTATTAAAAAAATTGTCTGTTTGTTTGTTTGCCTGTATGTCTGTTTGTCTGTTTTTGTGTGCGCGTTTCATGCGAAAAGTAATGTACCAATTTCAACGAAATTTGGTGAAGTGATTACTTATTACTCGAGTCAACATTTAGGGTACCTTTTGTATGTATGTATGTATGTTGTATTCAGCCCTTTTTAACACACGCACGGGCCTCCTTTCAGTACGAGGTGGATCAGGCCATAGTCCACCACGCTGGCCAATATCAGAGGTGCTGGACCCGGGATTTGAACTTGCTATACTTGGTTTCCCAAGCGAGCGCGTTACCACTGGGATACCACTGCCTAGATACCTTATACTTAAAGAAAATCTTTCTTTCCCACGGGAAAATATAATAACTGGTTTTATCGAGTCCTCCCTAGAAACCTTCCTCTGGCTAAGCCTTAAAACATACATCGAAACAATATACTAAAAAATTGTAGGTCTTGAAAAGTCCTACAGAAAAGTTCTGAATAGTATATGTCTATCTCCTAAGTTACACTCGCAATATTTATTCTTATCTATACCTATAATAAAACTTAGTCAAATCGATGTGCGCGTTTCACGCAAAAAGTACTCAACCGATTTTAACTTCATTTTGTATAGTGATAAAACTTAGTGCTCGGGTCAACATTTAAAATACTTTTTACGACAGGCAAATTATTCATTCCCACGGGAAAATACAATAACTGGTTCTATCGAATTGTCCTTAGAAATTTATATGGCTAACGTTGGCTCAACCTTAAGAGATAGATCAAAACATTGTACAAGAAAATTGTAAGTCTTAAAAAGGTCTATAGAAAAGTTCTACATAGTATATGTCTATCTCCTAAGGTACACTCGCTATAACTATTTTCATTATTATATATTTCTGTTTTATTATATGTTATTTATTCTATCTGAATATAGGTACATATATGAATATAGGTACATATATGAATAATAAAACTGTAGAGGTCGAATGTCTGTCTGTACATAGATTGTAGAAAAAATTGCTAAAAAACGAGTCAGTTCTCTTCTTACATACCGTAAGGAGAGAAATAGAACAAATCCAGATTTTTTCAAATTTTTTGTTTCTTTGTCTGTTCGTAGGGGCTAATCTCCAATACTATTGAACCTATTTAAATGAAATTTGATACTTTTCATTCCGGAAAATTAAAGAGTTCCCGTGGGATAGGTAAAAAATTATAGTAACTTATACAGCTTTTTGAACTCGGCAAAACGAACTAAGCCATTGAAACTAAAGAAGGCAAAAATTCCTAATGTGGAATACCTTTTCCTGTCACTGATATTCTTACATCACATCTGCTCATAGCCAAGAAGACTGGCTCAGTACACAACAACTTATGCACCTAATTTAGTAAAATTTGGCATGCTGATACCTTATATTGCAGGTCGAACAACAGGTTACTTATTTTTATCCCGGAAAAATGAATGGTTCCCGTGGGATAGATCTGTTTGTGCTTTCCTAGAGGTGAACCCGAGCGAAGCGAGGGTGAGCCGCTAGTTCATTACTAATTACAAATCTATACATATAATAAAATTGTAACTAAGTCGAATTTGTACATTAAATATTTTTTGGAAAATCTTATTGAAATAGACATTATTATCGATACAGAGTCCGAATCTATAGTTGTTAGAGTTTTTGTCTGTCTATCTGTCGTTCTGTCTGTCTGTCTGTTACCGCATCACGAGAAAACCACTGGACAGATTCTGATGAAACTTAGTATGATGATAGCTGGTTATCCGTATAATAGCATTTCTGAGAAAAAAATACAAAAACTGCATTGTAAGAGTATAATAATATGTAACACCTAAGAATTTGGTTTTTAGTCATCTGAACGCGGGCGGAGCCGCGGGCAATGCTAGTTAGTATATATAACTAGCGACTCACCTTGGCTTCGCTCGAATTCATCCCTATGTAAGTTTCAACGGTTAGTGTGGAAATATATAGACTATATATTGTATATACATAGGTACAAGATGAACAGTTCTGAACTATTCGATTTACCAGCTGTTTTTGTTTTTTGGGGGGCCTATTTTTTTATGCTTAAACCACTTCTGACACACCCCCAACAAAACAAAAGAAGAATTATTCAAATACATAAATCTAGCCATTTTTGAGTTTAAGCGAGACTTACGAACGGCAATTATTTTTTGCATTTATAGATAACTAGTTACAGCTTTAATATTTTTTTTTATATTGAAGAAATTTTCGACTAATTTGATTACTTTATATTTTTTTTAAATAATTATAGTGGATTGAGAGAATTTGTTCTTAGGTTTAAGATGAGATGAGATTCTTTCTTAGGTTCTACGATATTAAGTATCGTACCCCTTAAATTTGATTAATTCAAATTTTAAAACGCTTCATACATATTTTAAAGTTGACTATTTAGAAGAAGATACGCAATGTTCCTGACATGTACTTACAGTACACATTACTAGATTAATGAAAAAGCCAAATATGTCTAAATATTAGCAAAAATACTTAATCGGAGATACAATTATTAAAAAAAAATATTTTAATTAATTTTTCGATTGACTACTCAAAAACATCTACATCAAATAAATCATAGCATAAATAGTAAAGTTTATTACTAAAAAATAAAAAATTCTAATTTTATCCATATAATTTTTACTTTTGTTTATATTCTAAGTCACAAAAAAATACTTGAAAATTAATTTCTTTCAATCATTTATCAATCTTTCAAACAATATCTATGAAATCAAATAAATAATATAATATCTATCAATAAAAATATGATCAAATCTTAAAAGTAAAATAATTGAGCTTTCCATTTACAATTTTTCACCTTCATCTATTAAACAGTCAGTTCTTAAATACTTAAGTATAATTATAAAATATATATTTCAAATATTACCTTATTCCACCAACATTCAAAATGATGCGATTTTCTCCATCCATCCCTAATAGAGTCCACAAAAATTAAACCTAACACAACACAGAAATCACATTACGATTCACTAATTTGTTTACGTCTGCCAAACTCGAAGTCACGACCGTTCCCGACGGAGGTCGGTTAGCTACTGATGAGGCTGCGGCCACCCCCCACCTGTGGACCAAACGCACTGCACTGCGCCTTTCAGCTTGTAATGTCTCTTTAACAAATTTGTTTTGATAAGTACACTTACTTTCTCTATATATTTTCTTTTTTAGGTACGTTTTAATTTTTTGAGCGGAACACTAATTCTTTTTAATAATAAAAGTAGCCTAAGTTACCTTGTAACATCAGCTATCTGCCAGTGAAAGCCCCGTCAAAATCATTCCAGCCCTTTTGGATTAGCAAGAACAAACAGACAGACAGACATGTTAAAATTGCGTTTTTCTTAAAGTATCGTATATAATTTCATATATGCATTTAGTAAAAATCTGTTATTTTGACATTACAAATAGATACTTCCAATTTTATTTATCTGTGGGTTTGAGCTTTACAAACGTTTGAACAACTAAGTAAAACAAATATACATAAATGGCTAAAATTAAAAACAAAACGTATACCGCCATTCTACATCTGTCATTATGATTATTATCAAAAGTTAGTACATAGTTTAGAGTAACATTATTTTTCACGTTGCATATATTCCTTAGGTTTTTGGATCTTTAGCAAATATTATTATAATTATACAACAGATTTTTTTATATATAATATACAATACAAGTGAAATAAAAAAAGAACTAAATTTACCCTAACCAATCCCTAATTACGTACCCTAAGTGATTTTTCAGGGTTCCGTGCCCAAAGGGTCTAGTTAAGGACCTATTAGCAAGCCTTCACTTGCCCTCAGTCCGTTCTATATTTATAGTTTATACAATAGCTTGGAATGATAATTCATACTTAATATTATAAATGTGAAAGTGTGTTTGTTTGTCCTTCTTTCACGTCGAAACAGAGTGACGGATTGGCGTGATTTTTTGTGTGGAGATAGTTGGATGGTGACATAGGCTACTTTTTACAGCGGGAGATCATCTAATTCCCACGGGAAAACACGTTATAATACAATCCAAAAAGATATTTATGATCACAATTACTTGAAACTTGGTATAAATGCTCTTTTAGTCTGTCCAGTGGTTTTCTCGTGATGCGTTCCCAGACAGACAGACCAGACAAATTCGACCTCTGTATCTATAATATATAATAACTAGCGGACCCGACAGACGTTGTCCTGTCTACACGTCTTTAATTTGAAAATTTCAAACTTTTTTTAATAAGCTAAAACATTCTGGACCATTTTGATGAAAATTATTATTCAAATTGTGAATCTAAACCATTCCCAGATCCCCTTGAACACACACAAAAAATTTCATCAAAATCGGTCCAGTCGTTTGAGAGAAGTTCAGTGACATACACACTCACAGAAGAATTATATATATAAAGATAATGACTATTTCAATTATTTTCAAAGATTTTCAAAAAAATATTTAATGTATAGATTCGACTCAGTATTTTGTTATATGTATAGATATAATGTGATTTTGAGTTTTTTGTTTTTGCTATTCAAAATATTAATATAATTTCCGCTTTTCTAAACCTCTAATGAAAAAGTAGCAATAAAAACTGGCCAAGTGTGAACCGGATTCATTTTAGTGCTCCGGCCTCTGTTCAACATAAAATCCGATTTTATTAGTAAACACATAACACAGATATATTGTGCTTCATAATACTGGTGTGTGACTCTTATATCCTTACGGACTTACATACTGACATTTAATTATTTTTTTTGTAAAATTGGCGATTCAAAAGTGTTTGTAAAAGTCTATTTGAATAAAGTATATTTTGATTTTGACGATTTTGAAATTTTCTTCCTAAAACTTAAGCTACTTTTATAATTGCGAAATTTTGTATAATATACGAGTATGTATTACTATTTATTAGCGACTCACCCTCACTTCGCGTCCGGTTCATCCCCAGAAAAAAAAATCGATCCCACGGGACACATATATTTTTCTGGAATAAAAAGTAACTTATGTGCTATTTCAGACTATTATAAATCTTTGTTCCAAATTTCATCCAAATCCATTGAGCCGTTTTGGCGTGATTGAGTAACAAACATCCATCCATCCTCACAAACTTTCACATTTATAATATTAGTATGGACGTGTCTGCATGTTTATAAGTGCTTCTCTCTGAAATAGCTGGACGGTTTTGGATGAAATTTAATATATAGATAGATTCTAACCTGGAGTAACACTTAGGCCTGTAATACACCCAGGTACTAAAGCGAAGCGAGTAAGGAAAGTACAGAAAGCCAGAAAGAAACTAACTGGTGTTTGTTTATAGTGCTTTCTTTAAGTAAATAAATGTATGAATTTGTCAAGATTCTTTTGATCCACATAGAACAGCATCAGCGCTTTCAGAATTGGCTGTTGAATATTTTATACTTTTGCCGTTTTGATTTTGCAATGATTTATTCATATCTACGGTCTCTTTAACTATTTATATAGAAGAGGTCTTGTTCTTCGGTTATGTTTTTTGTTACACAATTATTTATGAAGAACTCGGACTTTTTTGTTTTTTTTTTTAACGTGTTATACATATAAATGCAGGGCTTTTTTAAATATTTATATTTTTAGTGTATCGTCGGCCTAGTAAATAAATATGTTGGACCATTAACACACAGCTGAATCTAGTTCCATGGTAAGCTACGAGGCTTGTGTTATGGATACCTGATAGTTGATACACTACACTTATATAACTTTAAATACATACATTTTATAAATATGAACACCCATGACTGGAGTACAAACATTCGTGCTCATCACACAAATGAATGCCCCCGGCGGGACTCGAACCCGCTATGTAGGGTCACAACAAACTGAGGTAAATGTATCGATAAATTAACTAATTAACTAGTAACTAGCATATCGCTACAGACCTGGAAGACCTGGGTTCAAGTCTCGGATCAGGGGAAAAAAATATCAGCGTTTATCTACCAAAAAATTCTTAATGGCCTGGAGTTGCAAGTTGGTGCTTTTACATCCCCGAGTACGTCGGTCCTGTACTTCTCTCTATATTTTTAGTTGCGTGGGAATGACATCCTATGGGTCTTTAAGAGTGAAAGGAATAGAGAGTGCACTTGTGTTTACGCGCACACTTGTACTCTCTCATATTCCATATATTGTTACCTATTCTGACAGATGACAGTATGGAAGATATTATCAGACTAATATAATATATGCGAAAATAGATTTTATCTCATTGAAATTTTCTCTCAATGCAAAATTCATATTTTGAATGTATGTAGTTTATTAATAAATAACAATTGCTATATTTAATTGTAATACTTATTAAAAAAATTAAATGCTTAGAGTTAAAATCTACTCAAAAAAATATTATAAGGTACTTTGGCGCTATTTTTTAATTTTGAAATCATTTTGTAAAATTGTGGGTAGGCACTGTCTGTAACAAGTATATGACGCCTTTAAGACGTTTAAAATATTAGTCTCTCCCCTGACTATGATTGCTGTAAAGCATTCGAAACGTCGGGAACCAAAAATTTTAATAAATCTATAGTTTTATTTAAAATGTCAAATATTTACGTAAATCTAAGAAAGTATTATTAAATAACGACTTATGTCGTATTGCGTCCCTGGATGCTGTACAGAAGCCTATGTCTTACTTCAGGTAATATCTATCTATCTGTGTACAAAATTTCATCCAAATTCGTCGAGCCGTTTCAGCGGAAAAGGATAAAATTATAATAGAGGTGTAATTTTAGACCAATCATAATTAATTTTTTAATAACACTATATATAGTTATTTTTATTTATATCCCTAAATATAAATAAGTATACATATGCATGTATTTACTTTTGTGAAAGATATCCTTCCTTCCTTGTGGGAAAGCTGGGTTTGTTTGGGGTTGATTAAGTTTTGTGTGAATCGAACCCAAAGTAGACCAATTAGACAGAAACTTGAAAGTGGGAAGAAATAATAAACCGATATATATATATAGATATATATATATATATATATATATATATATATATATATGTAACCTTTTACTATGTACCTCTCTATGATTAAATCTTTAAAACTACGCATCGGATTTTGATGCAGTTTTTTTAATAGATAGAGTGATTCAAGAGGAAGGTATATAATTTGTTAAATGTTTGTATACATTGATAAAATATAACGATATTTGTTGGAGGTGTCGGAAAAAATAAGACGTCTGGGAGCTTTCAACGAAAACGCTGCCTAAACCCTTTAAGATATAACAAAATAATGTATGGTGGAATCTTATATAGGTCTACAGAAAAGTCCGCGATAGCATATGTCTATCTCTTAAGGATAACATACTATATCCATTTTAATTTAAAACGTACCTAGGGACGAACCCGAGCGAAGCGAGGGTGAGTCGCTAGTTTCTTAATAAAAAGAAAAGATGTTCGATATATTACGCGATCTCTTCGCAATATCGCAATTTTCATATCATTATTAATTTATTATTAATTCTTGCAGATCATCTCAACTAAAATTATAAATATACGTGTATTATAAAAGTAAATTGTTTCATAGTATATACAAGGTACATACTCGTACATATCATTTCTTGGTGATTTTGTGAATATGTCACTAGTGCCCTGCCCGCACGTATAGCGCGCGTGTACCGATTTAATTAACTTTTGATGCATAGTCTAGATTTCTGATTCGAAATTGGATATACGAGTGCGTTTATAATACTTGTTAAATATAATATTTTATGTCAATAATAATTTATTTGGTCATAATAACTTATATATTATTATTTTATTGTTTCTTTTGATACCCCACTCGATTGGTTTGGAAGATTTTTTTAATCACACAAATTAGCACCTGAAATCCGCAATTTCAATTTTTAACCAATTTTATAGAGCCTTTGATACTCGGGTTAACAAGACGAATCTAACGATGTATGAATTATCAAAATTCGCTGAAGCTGAATCGTTTGGTCTCTAGAACGCCATATTGGAACAAACATACATACATACATACTGACAAACACATGACTGATAAACACATTACTATCCTTTGCATCGCGCAGTTGAGTAAGAACAAAATCGGTTATCAAAGAGGACAAAAAGATACTGAAGATTAGCTAAAAAAAATATGTCCCTTAATATAAACCTATCAAATTCTTGAAATTTTAAGCGTAATATCAATATAAACCGATCAAATAAAATATGCTGATGCTATCTCGCGGGGATTATTTTTTTTCTGGCAATACAAATACTTAAAAGTTGACCAAAGCTTTGTAGAATTATCATTTCAATCTCTCAGAATGTCCTAATTCAGCAATATAGCGGTAATGGTACCAAGATTTTGTATTCTGGCCAAAATAAAAAAAATAATGTGTATGACGTGCATGAACGAATCAACCACGTGTTATGGGATTTTTAACATGGTTTCCCTCTTACTTAACTGAGTTCCTGACATTTTGGCAAGGTAAAAAAGCCATAGTCACAAGTATACAGAAGAAAAAGAGAAAAATAATGTCAGTAACCATGAAAGAAAGAAAAAAACATTAATCATATTATTAGTAACAAATAACAACAGTTACTCTCTATTTCTTAAGAATAAGCCGAATCTTAATATTCGGCCCATTTTGAAGTGATATAAATATTTTAAAATGAACCCTAAATTAATTTCATATTCCATAAATAGTTAAAATTTATTCAGTAAAAATTTGACACCAAATAACTGTCAAAAAACTCTTCTTAAAATATATTTTACATAATTATTACCTTGCTAAATGTACAATTTAAATATCATAGAAAAGTTAAAAATTACGATGATACTAAACTCTTAAGATACTCTGAGTGTAAAGTTGCACATCCAGTGAATGCTCTACAAATATATATATATATATATATATATATATATATATATATTTTATAAAAGAAAAATGTACTTATTATACCTATTATACGATTTCTTCGGTTTTTGAGGAAAAAAGTCATACCTTAAATGTGCTACCTTTAAGGGTGGAAAAATTATGTTTTAGTGTTTAAAGTGTATTTAAAGTCGATATAGGTACTATTTTAGTTAAAAATAACACTGATATCCTCTTAAGTGGAAGTATTAATATCACCAAACTCACTGTTATGTAGTGTAAAATGCTCAACTTAATATATGTGGTCGACATAGAATGTATGCTGACCACTCAAGATGGTTAGTGTTCTTTGAGAGAGAGGCCTTTATTTAGTGGAAGGTGGCAATAGGTTGATTTATATAAACTTGTAATTTTAGGTTCAGTACTTAAAGTCACATACAAACAAGTGTACACCGAATAGTATTCATATGTGACTAATAAAAAAATAAATGTTTTGGACATCTTTAGAAGTAGATCTTTCATTTCTTTTTAGACATTATGAAAAATCTGCCCAACGGAACTGAATTGACTCAGAAACTTCCATTTAAACTCTTTTACAATAATCTTACGCTATTGTAGAGGTAAATTCGTTTTTCTTTTTGCATATACAGAACGGCGGTTGTAGCCCAGTGGTAACGTGCTCTCTTGGAAATCTGAGTGAAGCGAGTTAAAATCCCGGGTCTCGCAACTCTGATATTTTCATGAGCGAATCATTTCTAACGTGAGTACCACTTACAGTAAAGGCAACCGTCACGAGAAAACCTGCATGTCTGAGAGAACCTAGCAAGTTTTTAAAGACATGTGAAGTCCGCCAATCGACACTTGGCTAACATGGTGTACTATAGCCTGAACCTCCTCGCATAGAACAAAGGCCTTAAAAACGACATTCAATAAAATTCAGAACTAAAATCATACACACTGTCGTAAAGTGTTGAGTGCACGACGGTCCTTAATGTTGCGCCTGGTAGCATCACACCCTAGGGAACTATTACGTGCTACAGAACTTTCATAATGGTAGATTATACGAGTCTTTTAGTCATTTTGCTAGTTAATGCACCCGGCGTTCAACATTATTCGGGCATACTAATATTATAAATATGTATGTGTGCTTGTTTGTCTTTCAAACAGAAACTATGAAACAGTGACAGATTGGCGTGTTCTTTTTGTGTACGGATAGATGGAAATCTGGGAAATAATATAGGCTACTTTTTATTGCAGAAAATTTTCTTGTTCTCATAGAAAAACACGTTATAATACAACTCACAACGACTCATCATACCTATGTATACACTATACATGCATATATAGTCTATCTATTACATACACACACACATACACAGACACACATTACACACTCCTCTCCTTTAATTGCTCACACACATTACACTCATTACACCAATACTTCTTACAGTCATGCATTACACATCTTAAGAGAGAGGAATGACATATTTAATAATATTAATTAATATCTTTAGTTGATATGTAATTCTTTATTTTTTTTGGTAATATTTATGTCACCTAACCGTGGGGATATGGCGCTGACAGCTGATGCACAGGTCTCCTAGTTCGGCTGCAGATGCTATGTTTTAAATATTTGTACGAGTATGTACCAAATTAGATTTAGTAAGTGTTAAGCAAATATCTGGATGTACTTACTACTTTTTGGAAATAAAGAACTTATTATTATCTATTATTATTATACTAACCGTTAAAGTATAGGTACTTAGGAACGAACCCGAGAGAAGCGAGGGTGAATCGCTAGTTTTCTATAAATGTTGCTTTATGTAGAGCAATTTAGGTTAGACGATAAGTTGTCTATCATTCTGTCAGTTTTTAAGGAAGTCTTATGAATATTTTAAACGTAAGATTGCCTGTCTGTCAGAAGTATTTTAAGATAATATCGTATCTTGTTTCTTAAATAATAATTATATTTCATTTAAAAGAAACTTCAAAATTAAAAAAAAAAATTTTTTTCGAAACCTTACAAAAACAAATTCTTTCTATTTATGAATCTGGGATTCATATCAATAAAAAAATAGAATCATAAAAATAGGTTAACATTCCACAAACATAAGTGTGTTATACGATATCATATGAAAAAACACACAAAAACTTTACTTACCTTTGTAACTACTTTCTTCTTTTGAAATTGGAAATACAAAGCAGAGAACAATTAGAAATATTTATTTATACAGATAAATAAAATTGAAATGTCTGTTTGTAATGTCAAAATAACAGCTCAGCTTTTTACTGAATGCATATGAAAGTATGTAAAAAAACATATTTTAAACTTTGTCTGTCTGTGAGTTTGTTCCGCCTAATCTCCGAAACGGTTAGACCGATTTTGACGAAACTTTCACTAACTGATTCAGATATTATATGGAGTAACTTAGGTTACTTCTATTTTGGAAAAAACAATTAGGATTCCGCAAAAAAAAATTTAAACCTATGAAATTGTGAACATAATCCACATATCTAGAAAGGCGAGGATAAATCGCTAGTAAACAATAAACAACAACACGCTCTTCATGAAAACCCCACTTAAAGTATATATATATATATATATATATATATATATATATATATATATATATATATATATATATATATAAATATATATATTATGTTTGGTTAATTTGTCAATTAATTACATCGCAGTGTAAGGAGACAGACGACGTTAAACACGATGCTGAGTTAATTTAATTCACGTTCGTATTTGTGCTGTCACAACTAGAATTTAATTATATAAATTGGTGTCTGAAGGCAATATTAGGTAAATTTCTATTCTAATATAACTTTCATAAAGACGTTTGCTCGATGGCTGCCTAGATAGTCTATTGGCTAGAATGTTCGACTGCAGATTTTTTATTATTAGATTTTCCAACAAGAAAGTCTGAATAACAGCACGAAAATGGGAAGTTGGTGGTATTTCACCTTCGTACTTCGGAGAGCATGTGAAGCTGTTGGTCCTGCATCTAATCTCGTCATCTGTTTAATTGTCGTCACACGGAAATACGAGAGTGACAGTAATAAAGTGCTCATGTATTTTTGTGCATACTTGTACACTATAATATTTCCTGTACATATAGCGTTTTGGCTGGATTGGCTACCAAAGTCGAAACTGATCAGAAGATTCTTATTATTATCTAAAGTAAAGTATCTATAAAAAATAGAAAAAATGTTTATTTGGTAATATTTTTTCTACTGTATGTGTGCCACCCTTCATTTTATATTTTATGGCGGCAATATTTGGAGCTCAAGAAGTTAAAGTGACTATCGCTTTTGATGGACACCTGCGACATAAAGGAAGACTCTTGAAACTCCCTGTATTGTTCTCTGGCAGATCGTTTACAATTAACCGCAAAGGCAATAATACAAGTAATTTAAATTCAATTTTTTCAAATATTTTTTACAAATAATAGCTTCTTACATTTACACGAATACTAGACTTATCTTTTCGGATTTTTCTGCGTATTTTTTGGTTCCTTCCTTAAATCCTTTCCGTTTCGTTGGATTTTTCAGTATTAACTATATAGTAACTATTGAGACGTCTGAAACCTTTGTCTCTCCCGTGGCCATGTTTGCTGTACAGAATTCGAAACGTCTAGAACCAAAAAACAAAATAAGTCCATGAAGAAATCCGACAAGATAATTTTCTTTAAAATAACTTTTGCAATTTATTAAGTATCTTCATCAAATTATTTTTTATTTATTTATTTATTATTAAAATAATTTAAAACTCATTTACTTTACAACTTTTCAATAAACTTTAAAATTCAATTTAAACCTCAGGAAGCTGCCACTGACTCAAAGACATAACCGCTTAGAAGACTTAACAATGGATATACCAGAAATATCAACCTCCCAACTCCAAGTTACAACTAACTATTCCTTAACAGAAAACCCCTTTTGACTCTACTTCGTCCAAACTATGAACTCTAATCAAAAACCTTATGATTTGCATTCTAACACTTTGCCCCCTAGATTAAAGAAATAGTTAACAATTTTACCAATGGACTTATATCCTTCAAAAGTCACTAGATGTACCGAGATGAAACCACTGTTGCATTATTGCGTAAACAAAGGAAAATTCGTCTCATTCACATCTATACTAATATATATTATAAAAAGGTAAAGTTTGTATGTTTGAACGCGCTAATCTCAGGAACTACTTATCCGATTAGAAAAATTCTTTTTGCATTAGATATCCCGTTTATTGAGGAAGGCTGTAGGTTTTATATCATTATGCTACTACCTAAGGGAGCGGAGCAGTAATCATAAATGTCAACAAATCGGACAGACTTCCATACATTATTGTACAACTGATATTTATAATCAAACAAATTTAGTCTAACCTATGTGTTTGTCCAGATCGTAATGTGTTGGCGTACTAAATTCCATCCAAATCTATCCAGAGATACACACACATACACACATATGAGCACACACGCGTATACGCACACATAAATTCGCATTTAATAATAATAATTTATTTATTGTATTATATAAAACGACTATATATGGGGTTAAATTGTAATATTGCCTATATTTTTATAATAAACTAGCGACTCACCCTCACTCCGCTCGGGTCCGTCCCTTAACGTACGTTTTAACGATTAGTATGGATTTCTCAGAGATGAGCTATTTTCCCGCAGTAAAATGTTTCCTAAATGTTGACATGGACAACCAGCTATCACCATACCAAATTTCATCAAAATCAATCCAGACAAAAATCTAAAAACTATAGATTCGACCTCTATATCGATAATAATGACTATTTCAATACGATTTTCCAAAAAATATTTATGTACAGATTTGACTCAAAATTTTATTATATGTATATAGATTTGCACAAGAGAATAAAGAAATATAATAAACAGTAGCACGATTAAGCAATCAATAGCTAAGGACTGATATTGCAGCTAGGTAAAGGCATTTTTAACTTATAACTGCCTATTATATAAGATTTTTTTGCTAGTATATTTTAATCAGACTTGATAGGTTCCATTCTATACTGATTGTTCTCTATGTCATAGGGCTTAATTAGAAAACGCAAATGGAAAAATCTATTTCCTTACAACTATTGTTAGAAATCTTCATTTTCATTCAACATGAAAATAGTAATGAAAAGCTACAGCAAGCATTAGAGCGTTATAGTGATTACTGAGTTTTTTGCACTTTTCATTATTGTCTGTATAAAGTATATCTCTACATATATACGAATCTTATGCCCGATTTCACCAGCAACCTATAAGCTACCACCTACGTATGGGATCCCTAGCTTAAAATTCCCCTAAACTAGCCCCTAAATTAAATTTCGTTTTACCATCGTCTTTAAGCCCATATTTCGAGCATCTAAATTTAGAGGGCCTTTTAACATTTAGGTGACCCTTAACTGTCGGTGAAACAGAAACTGTCCCCTAACAGCCCCCTAACCATGCTTAGGGGATCCCTTAAACTTAGGTGACGTTGGTGAAATCGGGCATTAAACACTCTACCAATAATTAATTATTTTGGTATTTGATTTGCCTTGTCTGAATGTATTCAGCCCTTGTTAACGTACCGCTACTGGGCCCGGGCCTCGCCTCCCTTCAATACAAGGGCTATTCGGTATACCCGGTTTCACTTGCGATTCCCAAGCAAGCGCGTTTCAACACGCGCGCATAAAGCTATCACTGTCATGTGTCAATGCCTGTCAAAATTGTGTGTCTGAGTGTGGTTGTACGTGTATGTGTGTGTTCACACGCTGTACGTGTGCGTGTGTATGGACTACCAATAAAATCAGTTAAAAATATTAAATCTATTAAAACAGGGATCGCAGATCAAAACATAATTCTTTTAACTAGCGCTAATTCAATTTTTCTTATATAACATTATAAACATGAAAAAAGAAAAAACCCACATAATCCAAACATTCTTGCAAAATTGCGCATAAAATGTCTTTATCTGATAAAAATTCTTAAAACGTTTATCCTACAGTTGCAATGATAAGCGGTTCGTTTCGAAATCATTACTTCTTGTTGTGTATCTTTGGATCTCGCTTATCGATTTTTGTAGATTCACACTATCGATTTTTTACTGTTTATTTTTTTTTTATATTCCATACATAAAATATATAATTCTTAGGTACAAAAACATGTTTTATTTTATTGAAATATTTAAATCACGAATTTCAATTTTTTTAACATATATTTATTATTAATTACATTAAAAAAAATGTTTTTTAGCTTTTTTGACGTAATTTTGTTAAGGGCTAGTCCCTAATTGAAACAATAGAAATGAGGCGTTAACAGGAACAATACAAAGATTTTACTAAATAAAAGTAATAAATATCCAAAAATTGACGCTTAATCTGACATCAAAAGTGTCTGCTGTATAGTGTAAAACCTTTATCTATCAATAAAAATAAAACAAATAAAAAATATAACCAAACATCCCATGTGTGTTGGCGGTAAAATAGATTTTGACAGGTGGCCATTTTGAAACGAAGCGCGCAAAAATGGTATATGATGGATCGTCGATGGCCATTACAAAAGAAAGGAAAACAGAGTGATGTAATTTATCAGTTTTAATTTTATTTTTAAATAATCGAAAGATTAATAAAAGGCTTTTGTAGTCTGTTATTTATGAAATCTAATCAAATCCTTTCTATGTCTTTCTTAAAATAAACAATAGACGTAAATATCGAATACGAATAGAGCATCCCTAAAGTCGATCAAAAATAAATTACTTTAATTTGTAACAATGTAAAAAAAAAATAAAAAAATACAAACCAATTTCTCTACAAAATTGTTACTAGTTCATAGAAATCCAACAAACAGATAGTGTGTGATATCATTGAAAATAATCCATTTATCTGAAGAGATCGATAAAAAGACCTATTGATTCAGTGTCAGTCTCTATTTGTCTTAAGAAACAAATCATCAAAATGTATTTTAAATTATTATTTATTTGTGTTTTAGTGTTTGTTTGTGTCTGGGGATATCCTCAGATTTACGAGATTCAGAAGTTCAAAGTTGGAATTGAGTATGAAAGTAAGTCTAAATATAGTTTAAAAGTTATTCAATTTTATCAACCCTATACATATTGTGTGTGACTACATATGTATTATGTACTTGAATCTACTTGTCTACAAACACATTCATTAATTAAAAAAATAACTGTCTCGGTGATCTAGTGGCTAGAATGTACGGCTGTAGATCCACTGATTTTGGGTTCGACTCCCGGTTCTGCCTTAGTTTAGTTATAAAGAAACTATCGTCTCCCTGCCCATTTCCCAATCACTTAGGGTCGGCGCAGTACATATTTCGTACTGCTGATAGGATTCGGCAAAAGTTTTACGACCGGCCGCCTGCGTGACATCAACTCTCTAGGACATTTATTATTAAAACTAGCATTGCCCGCGGCTCCGCCCGCGTTCAGATGACCAAAAACCAAATTCTTAGGTTTTACATATTAGTATACTCTTACAATACAGTTTTTGTATTTTTTCTCAGAAATGAGATATTTTCCCGCGGTAAAAAGTATCCTATATGTTGACCCGTATAACCAGCTATCATCATACCAAATTTCATCAAAATCTGTCCTGTGGTTTTCTCGTGATGCGGTAACAGACAGAGAGACAGACAGACGAAAATTCTAAAAACTATAGATTTGGACTCTGTGTCTATAATAATGTCTATTTCAATAAGATTTTCCAAAAAATATTTAATGTACAGATTTGACTCAGTTAGAATTTTATTATATGTATAGATACCATGTTAAGAAATTCTCAGAAATAACCAGGAATTGGGAATATGACAGTTTTTCACCCCCGTGCCCCGGTGACCAAGTATGGACGCATGGTAACTCACACCAGTTGTAATGAAGTATCATCTCATCGGAATTTGAGAGTGAAAGAAATAGAGAGTGTATTTGAACATTCTCATCCTTGAAACTACTAGTTCTTCTATTTTCTGTTTTGTAGCCTCTTTACGAAGAGATATTTTGTACTATCTAAGTTGTAGCGCTATGATGTCTCATTTCATAGGAACTGAGTTACATACAAATAAACTTTGTTTCAAACTTTTAACTCATATTATATTAGCTTTTGTTAACTTTCGTTAATATAATGAAAGTGGAAAGTTAAAACCACAATCATGAGTTATTCTCTCAAACTAAGCACCGATTAAATTTTTGATCTTTTTATACATAGAAAATGTATTATATTATATAATAAAAATGTAATCTATACTAATATTATAAAAACAAAAGATTTGTTTGTTTGTACTGAATAGGCTCCGAAACTACAGAACCGATTTAAATGAAATTTGCTAAGAAGATAGTTTGAGACCCTGGGAAGGACATGGGATAGTTTTTATCTCGGAAATTATCCTTTAAAGCGGTTAAAATTGGAATGAAAGTTTGTTTGGGGAATCAACCTAGGCACGAGTCCGAGCGATGCGAGGGTGAGTCGGTAGTCTATACTAATATTATAAAGAGGTAAAGTTTGTGAGTTTGTGAATTGTGTGTTTGTGAGTTTGTGACGTTTTAGAGGTTAATCTCTGGATCTACTAAACCGATTAAATGAAATTTGGTAAGAAGATAGTTTGAGACTCTGGGAAGGACAAAGGATACTTTTTATCCCGGAAATCATCCCTTCAAGGGGTGAAGATGGGGATGAAAGTTTGTATTGGGAAGCAACGTTTGGAAGAACACGAGCAAAGCGGTGGTTCGCTAGTGTAAAATAAATTGAAATGTGTTTAACCGATTTCAAAAGAGGAGATAATAATCAATTCGAGTGTAATCTTTTTTTGTATGAATGCCAATTATTTCAAGTCAATTTTTGATGTAAAATTCCTTTTTTATATTATTTTGTAGACTTTGAATATCAAAGTTTGGTGTACATTTTAAATTTTAAAGTATGTAATTAAAATTAACATTTTTTCAGAAATAAGATAAGAAGGTTATATATTAAACTTAAGTATTTTATAAGAGAAATCATTTTTAGAATTGCTGAGCAAGTTTTGAGTTAACTTTTCAATCTTTTCAGTTAAGATGTTAATAAATCAAGCTAGCGACAATCTCATTTATTTATTGTTTTAAAAAAAATATTTGCTGGCTTTTCCCAAACGTTATAATGTTTTAAACGAAAATTATCTGATTTATCTGAATTGTCATGTATGATTCATACTGCTATAGTATGAATCAACAAGACAATTGAAGTATTTATCACTATTTATTACAAAAGTAAAGAAATAAAACGTAACATTTTAAACTATTTAAAGTATTGTTTGACGATTTTTTAAGTTAAACTTCTATATTTTAAATAAAACTATCTTTCCGGATTTTTTCGCGAATTTATTTTGATTTTTGGTTCCCGACGTTTCGAATGCTTTACAGCAATCATGGTCACGGGAGAGACTGAGGTGTTAGATGTTACAGACAGTCTACCCACAAATAACAAAATGAATTCAAAAAATTGAAAAATGGCACCAAAGTACCTTACAATATTTTTTAACTTTTAACTTTAAACATTTTTATATAATTTTAATTATTTTTATAATTGAATATGGAAAAATCAAAATAAATTCGCGAATAAATCCGAAAAGATACTTTTATTTAAATTGTCAAGTATTCGCGTAAATCTAAAAAAGTATCATGTTAAACTACTATACTTTTTTTCCTTACAGATTCCTTGCCCATGACCGGAGGCTCAGACAGATATCGACACAAGAACAATTATGATCCGTTCTTCGTCACTGTCACTGCGAATGTTAAAGTAAGTTATAAAGAAGTTGGAACATTTACACACAGCACCATCCAGTTCCATGGTTAACTACGAGGCTTGTGTTATGGATACCAGATAGTTGATACACTACACATATATTACTTTAAATACATATGTACATATTCTAAATATAAACACAAGACAAACATGTGGAGTCAAGTCAAGGAGATGAGGAGTCAAACATTCGTGCAAACATCACACAAATGAATACCCCCAGCGGGACTCGAACCCGCGACCGCTAGCACAGCAAGTAGGGTAGCACTACAAACTGAGCTAAACTTCAAGATGTGTGTGTGTAAGTTGACGAAAGTACATTACTATAAATGGAGACACCTATGCTTATATCGGAGTAATAATATTAAGTGATTCGAGTCTTCCTCACAATACGTTGCATTGGCTCGACGTTATGAAGTTTTTAATGCCTAAGCCATTAATCTCCACTAAGTCTTAACACCACTATTAAAAATTGAAAATTTTGTATGTATGTCTGTTTTTGTCTGGATTTAGATGAAGTTTAGTAAAAAAATATACCTAAATTATGACCTGGAGTCACATATAGATTACTTTAAGAAGGAGCTAGAAACTCACCGAAAAAGCAAGGGCAAGGCGTGGCTAATATAAAACAATAAAAATTCTTTTACTTTCTTTACTTACGTTTTTACAAGCTCGAAGTAGCTTTAGACGTCTATTTTTCATAGAAATATTATACGGGTCAGAGAGTGACATAGGTCGCTTTTAATCCTGACATATCCGGAAGATCCCGCGAGATTGCAAAATGGTACTTAAGGATACGCTGGAGGAAATCAACGGTTCAATAATCAATGATAAAACGACCATCCTTTTTCTTTATCCATTTTTTAATATTGTTTGAGTAAAAAGCGGCGTCGAAATCGATTATAGTTCAATATATGTACATATTTGATAGGAAATGAAAGTGGATTTCGCTATGAGAGGTATCACTCGCTATAAAATCACTATCACAATCCTTTGAAATTATCTAAAAAAGTTCAGCAATTTTAAAATCATTTATAATTCCACTCTCATTTTTTTTTAAATAGGTATGTGTTGAAAGTTGAAGAAAACCTATTTATATAAAAAACACACACAACTAAGCAATAATACACAATCAAAGTAATACAGCGAAATCTGTACATATTTTTTGTTAAACCCAAGACTATAATAAACAGAATATGTCCCTAAACCATAGTTGTCTGTTTTTCTGTCTATTTGTTCGCTTTTCATGTAAAAGCTACAGAATGAATTTTAAGTTAATTTTGTGTAGCAATAACGTATTTTTTCAGATCAAAATTTAGGACATCTTTTTTATATATATTTAAAACAGATACCCGACAAACCTCACTCTATCAAATCAAGTGTATAGCAGACCCGATTAGAAAAGTGGTGTTTTTTTTTAGTTTTTCCCTGCATTTGTTTCAATTTTTCTCTTTATAAGAACCTTCCTCGGACTTAAACGTATATTTGAAAAAACAGAATTACCCGAAATGGTCCAGCAGTTCATTGTACCTACATTTTTATTAATAAGATACATAATATTACATATCATTTTAAAATATGCACCCGACGCACCCGAGGGAAGCGATAAAGTTGTTAGTACACAATAAAACATATACATTTAATATATCATAAAGATGTCTTTGAAAATATCGCCCATTGGTGCGAATAATCGTCCAATTAAGGCATAATAATCGTGTAGGAATATTCGAACATTGTTCAAAATAATTTATTTTACATCTCATATTAACGATTTCACCCACTCTTGCCAATTTTACTGGCTTCATTGCAACTGTTATATATGAATCAATATAATGCACTGTATGTTATTTTAACTTCACTTTTTTTACGGATCACCAAGCATTCGACAAAAAGTTGTCGTTTGTGCTAATTAAGCAATATATAAAGCTTTAAATTCAACGTCATATAAAGAACATCACTAATTAAACAATTTCTACGTGACATTGGTGAAGTAATCTGTGCTCAACTGGCACGCTTTGAAGCCATTAACAAGAGAATTGAATTGAATTAATTAAACAATAAATAATAATAAATAAATATGTTGGGACATTAACACACAGCACCATCTAGTTCCATGGTAAGCTACGAGGCTTGTGTTATGGATACCAGATAATTGATACACTACATATATATAACTTTAAATACATACACATTATAAATATAAACACCCATGACTGGAGTACAAACATTCGTGCTCATCACACAAATAAATGCTTCCAGCGGGACTCAAACCCGCAACCGCTGGCACAGCAAATAGGGTCACTACAAACCGAGCCAAACGTGTCGTCATATTATGTACATACATACTATTGTTTAATTAATTCAATTAAACATAGTTTTTCTAGCAAAAATTTACAATATTAATTAGCACGCATAGCGTCGTAAGGTTCTGTACCTGTGCTCTCACCGGAATAATAAGATCGAAACGTACCTATATCTGCTCAGTATTCAAATTAATTGGAAATAAAAACTAAACTAGATAACATAATGCCTTTAAAAAAATAATGATGTTTTATAGCAGAAAAAGGTAACTAAATCCTCCCCCGATATCTGTACTAATATTATAAAGAGGAAAGATTTCTTTGTTTGTACCGAATAGGCTCCGGAACTACTGAACCGATTTAGATGACATTTGGTAAGAAGATAGTTAGAGACCCTGGAAAGGATAAAGGATAGTTTTTATCCCGGAAATCATACCTTATGGGGGTGAAAATGGGGATGAAAGGTTAAGATGTAGAAGAATATAGTTTAAAACCCTGGAAAGCACGTAGGATAGTTTTTATCACGGAAATCATACCTTATGGGGGTGAAAATGGGGATGAATGGTTAAGATGTAGAAGAATAAAGTTTGAGACCCTGCAAAGGACAAAGGATAGTTTTTATCCCGGTAATCATACCTTATGGGGGTGAAAATCGGGATGAAAGTTTGTATGGGGAAGCAACCTAAGGACGAACCCTAGCGAAACGAGGGTGAGTCGCTAGTGGATATATAAAAATTCACGGTTTTTGATTTAGTGAAAAAAATGACAGAGCTAACGCTAACATTAAAAGAAATTGGTCTCTATGTACTAGACACTTCAATCAGCTTACGGTTGAAAAGAGGGTTAAACGAATTCCAGTTAGATAAAAGGCTTCATTAGACGAAAACATCTGACAAAAGGTTCCCTAATAGCCTGTTAGAGTTAGTTTCAAGGGTCAGTGATAGAAAAAGTGGAATCGATTCTATCGTATGGAATAATGTGCAATATATCGCTTTATCGTATTCTTATGTTATTTTAGAGAGTAAAGTAGATTTGTTTTAATATAACCAGCGAAAGCTTGTCTATACATATTATAAAATTCTAACTGAGTCGAATCTGTACATTAAATATTTTTTGGAAAATCTTATTGAAACAGACATAATTACTATATCGATACAGAGGCCGAATCTATAGTATTTTTGTCTATATGCCTTTCCATCTGTCTGTCTGGGAACATATCACGAGAAAACCACTAGACAGATTTATGGCGATCGCGGGTTCGAGTCCCGCTGGGGGCATTCATTCGTATGATGAGCACAAATGTTTGTACTCCAGTCATGAGTGTTTATATTAATAGTATACATATATACCTATTTTAAAGTTATATATTATGTGTAGTGTAACAACTATCTAGTATCCATAACACAAGCCTCGTAGCTTACCATGAAACCAGATGGTGCTGTGTGTTAATGTTCCAACATATTTAAAAAAAAAACTATATAATATATATTATAATAAAAAATATTTCAGACAGGCTACGTGCTATCCTACTTGGATGTAACATCCACAGTGGGTGAAGGAGGAGAAGTCAGCTTTTCAGTAATCAGAGGTACTACTGGCCACAAGTCTATCGTCTTCCAGCTGATCTCCAATCACAGTGACTTCTTATCCTACTCCTATTTAGCGTATGGGATACGAGAGGAAGAATATAAGAAGGTAATGTACATATTCGTATATATGTTCGGATTTTTTCGCGGATTTATTTTGATTTTTGGTTCCCGACGTTTCGAATGCTTTACAGCAATCATGGTCTCGGGAGAGACTAAGGTTATAGACATCTCAAAGGCGTTATAACGCCAAAATCAAAATAAATCCGCGAGATAATACGAAAAGATAGTTTTATTTAAAACTAGCATTGCCCGCGGCTCCGCCCGCGTTCAGATGACCAAAAACAAAATAAAATAGCGCTATTGTTATTTTTTTTTCAAGATAACCTATTTTTAATAGTTTTTGCCTTATTTAGTAAGTTACCTTGCTAAAATATATATAGTACCATCGTGGTATTATTCTAACCAGTTTTTGTCTTCTTTCTCAGAAATAAGATATTTTCCCGCGGTAAAAAGTATCCTATATGTTGACCCGGATAACCAGCTATGACCATACCAAATTTCATCAAAGTAGTTTTTCTGTGACGAGGTAACAGACAAACAGTCAGACAGACAAAAATTCTAAAAACTATAGATTCGGCCTCTGTGTCGATAATTATGTCTATTTCAATAAGATTTTCCAAAAAAAATCTAATGTAGAGATTCGGCTTAGTTAGAATTTTGTTATACGAGTATGTATAGATACTCGTAAATAACCTTTTGAAATTGTCAACAGTTGCTCTTTAAAAATTTCTAACATCGTAACATCATAAGTGATGGGATACTAATATTAGGTATAAATTATAAATCACTAAAAGCTCAAAATTATATGTTACTTTTACTACCTATGTTTGATTGTTATTTATAAGACGATATAAATAATACTACCTTATATTTAAATTTTAAACCACTGAAGAGATTTCGATGAAAATATGCAAGGACGAAAAATAATATGAAAAGATTAATATTTTAAATAAAATAAGAAAGTATTATAAAAAGTTTGTTATAACGAATTTCAAAATAATAATTTTTTATGAAAATAAAATAAACGCCATCTATACTATGTAGAGAGAAAAACTTTGACGAAACATTTACAGAGCCTTCATTTAAATCGTCTTCGTTGTGATGTGTTTATTTGACGCTAGATGTCGCTATACAAATTTTATTTTTTCTAATATTTTCAATTAACATTTAATGTTAAAATTAATATGTAAAACCCATATTCAACTGTATTTGTTAAAAAATTGTTTAAAATTAAATCGAAACTTTTTCAAAATCGCAGTTTTTCTTGTAAAACACGAATTTATTTTCATAATAGTGCTCATATTTGACTAGTGTATAATCCCGGCTTCGCTCTGGTTCACCTCTAGAAAAACAAAAACAAATCTTTCCCACGGAACCGTACATTTTTCCGGAGTAAAAAGTAGCCTATGTTCTATTCCAGACTATAATCTATATTATCTGTGCCAAATTTCATCCAGATCCGTTCAGCCGTTCTGACATGATTAACAAAATATCCATCCAAACATACAAACATCTAAACATTCATATCTGTATATATAATAACATATAAATATAATAAATGTGAAAGCTTGTGAGTATGGTCGTTTGTTACTCTTTCACGCCAGAATGGTAGAACGGATCTAAATGAAATTTGTGACATAGATAGGTTATAGTCTGGAATAACACATAGGCTACTTTTTATCCCGGAAATATGTACGGTTATGTATGATAGATTTGGCTTTGTTTTCCGCTAGTTTATAATATAAGTAAAATAATACAATCAATACAAAAAATTATACGTTTGTTTGTTCATCAGTCCCTCTATTAGTAAACCTATCTATTAGAAGCTGTACTATAATTTATAAAACTACTATCATCAAGGTACGATAGATGGCGCGCAAGGTTAATTAGATTTTCATTAGTTTACATACAAAATGCATATATTTTATACTATTTTATTATATTCTTTTATTTCAGATAAACAACATCATATCGCTGCCATGAAACTATACATGAGAAAAAGATCAAAAAACTGACTCAAGCATTCATTTTAATTTTAATATTTATATACGCATTATGTTATCAAATAAAAATAAAATATTTTAAAGAACATATTTATTTAATTATCATTTCCAACAAGTAATATATTTTTATAGGAGAAGAAAAACAGAAAAATTTATAAGAAAAGAATCATCTGCTGTTTGAATTGATCAATGTTTCAGAGCATTTTAACATATTTTTTGAAGCAGGTTTGAGGTGGTAGCGCAGTGCTAACGGGCTCGCCAAGTGATGCGGGTTTAAATCCGGGTCTCGCATTTCTGATATTTTCATGTGTGAATTATTTTTAACATGATTACCACTCGGCCAGCGTGGTGGACTATGGCCTGATCTCCCTCGTACTGAAGGGAGGCCCGTGCCCAGCAGTGGGACGTTAAAAAGGGCTGAATACATTCATTTTAACAGAATATTACTATACTTACTTTATGTATTTTAACACCATGTAAAACCTTAACAAAATTTATATAATACAACATATTTTTCTGTCTTCATTAATTTATAACTTAATATTATTGAAAAACATTTTTTTTTATATTTTTTTCGAGTTTAAAAATTGCACAACAGAAGTCGCGAAAAACCTCAATTATAGAAGAAAAAACAGGTTTTCTCACCCTAAAATTGAACACTGCAATATTTTTCCATAATACCTAACAAATCTAAACACATAAATATTGATTATTGATATCTATAATAATCACCTTTCTAGTAAATTATAGAATATGATAAATACATACATATACTAATAATATATTTTCGTATAATATATATCTTTTATATAATACTCAAATGTAATATATTATTAATAGTATTTAAATATTTAGTAAGTACATCAGGAACGGTCCCATTTACACTGCATTTGTCGACACTAACACAGTCTCCTTCTAAGTTCCTCAATAAACCAGATGTACAAATACAACCAGATGTGCAGGCCTTCGTGCATACAGGTTCGGGGTCTGAACAGCTCGGTTCACAGGACCCATTGCACACGTCATACACTTCGTTCTTATTAAAACATAGATTTGTATCTGGAATTAAAATAATATATATATATGGAAAGTCCAAGGTAAAAAATCATATTTTGCACCAGGAACCTTCGCAGGTGTATACAGAATAACTCACCAGAGTTTCATCACAATCGAATTTATGGTTGGAGAACGTATATTGGGACAAACATACGAACATTCATTTTTATTTACATAATACTAGTGACCGCGATTCGCTTTGATAGAACTTTTCTTTTTTATTTTGTATGTAATACGAATGTAGACATAGATATTTTGGCAAAATAACAACGCCCTTTTTTGTTAAATTTTATTACTAACAGTAACAAACATAGTGGTAACCTTGGAAAATGATGGTAGTAGAATGCTATCACACGTAAACAGTTTAACGGATTTTGATAACATTTTCTTCATAGAAACCATACTTTGAAAAGCTTGTTAGGAATTTATTTCTTTTAGACAAAAAATGGCGCTCGAAATCCGCTATTTTGATTTTTTAATAATATCCATATACACTATCCTATAAACATAAACACTAGCCTACACCAGAGTATATCAAGGCGAATCTAATGACGTAAAAATTACAAAAATCGGTTAAGCTATTCAGTAACAACTATAAGAGAACAAAGAATCGAACGTACACATATACAGGTCAAACACATAACCCTCATTTTCACCGCAATCGTGTAATAAAAAAAAACAAAATTCTCTTACCAACAGGACATTTATCAAACGTCACACATCTATGACTTATCTCATCTCTATAAAATCCTTCCTTGCAAAAGCATCCCATGCTACAGTCCAAGCCGCAAACTTCCGGTTCCGGTATAGAGCAAGTGGCGGGACACGCGGAGCCACAAGGCAGGAACTCTTCGTTAACTCCGCAAGATAATGTTGTAACTTTTTTAGAAAAAATATGTATATTTTTTATTAAAATAAATTAATTATGTAAAATAAAAATAATCTATACTATAATATTATAAAGAGGAAAGATATTTTTGTTTGTTTGTTTTTTTGTTTTGTGCCAAATAAGCTCCGAAACTACTGAAACGATTAAGATGAATTTTGGTAACAAGATAGTTCAAGACCCTGGGGAGGACATTGGATAGTTTTTATCCTGGAAATCTACCCTTAAGGTGGTGAAAATGGGGATAAAAGTTTGTATGGGTAAGCATCCTAGTTAGCTAGTTTTGTATAATATTTTGAAAGATAAATTGTAGGCAATCATACTATTATTATAAATACGAAAGTTCGTATAATATGTGTGTATGTTATGTTTATTACTTCTTAACGCTGAAATTTGAAACTATGATTTGAAGAAACACATGTATGTATGTACATAATATGCTACTATTAGTGATCAAATTTGCCAAAACTGTAAAAAACACTGAGGGAAGCACCCGAACGAAACGATCTTTTAGTCAAACGGAACTAGATAAAGAAATGACTACAAGAACTAGCAGGAAATTGATCACGTTTCACAAAAAGTACCAACCACGAATTTTTTTATCAATTAACCGGAAAGCTAGAAAGGTCATTAGAAAAACCAATGATGATGATGATGATGTTCTCCTAGCCGATTCCGGCCACGGCGGCCAATCTCAATGAGATTAGCCAACTGCGCAGGAGATATTATAGTGCTCAAGTGTACGCGCAGACACAAGTGCACTCTCTAATCCTATCACTCTCATACTCCGATGGGACGACCACTCGACACGACCGGTGAGAGTTAAGGCGCAGGATCGACGGCTTTACGTGCTCTCCGAGGCACGGGGGTGAAACACCGCCAACTTCCCAACTCCGGGCTGTTACTGAGACTTACTATACAGGAAGACTCAATAACTAAACTTGGCCCGACCCGGGAATCGAGCCCAGGACCTCCGGATGTGCAGCCGTACATGCTAGCCACTACACCACCGAGGCAGAAGGAGTCCAATATAAAACCTATTTTATTATATTCTTATTAAGGCTTAGAATTTTCCAGAGTATATTTAAATACACAGGCATTAAGTTTGGAAGCTTATTATTTTTGGTAAATATGGAACTTTCATAAAGCTATTTTTTAATTTAGAAATAAAACTTTTAAATTTAAAATGAACTGCTCGATATAGTCCAATTGAAATTGATATCACAATGCGTATGCGCAGGTAAACCGTCTCCAAGTTTTGTACATGCAAGCCTATAAGTACAGAAAAAAAAAAGAGGTACAGTGTACTGTGTATAGATGTTGTTAATAAATAAATTATTTTCATACCACATTTATCTACAGTAACACAAGTGCCGTTGTCGTTCCTCAAATATCCAGTCATACAATAGCAACCTTCAACGCAATCATCACTGCAGTTCATAGGATTTGGATTGCTGCAATTTGCACATGATGGTCCACAGAGCAGATACTCCTCGTTTGTAGGACAATCACCTGAAACAAAAATAAATACTGTATGTATGTATGTCTGTATTCCGCCCCTTTTAAAGTCCCACTGCTGGGCACAGACCTTACAATACGAGGGGGATATATGAGCTGAAAATAAATATTATTATAGTCCAAATTCTGTTTCCCTCTTACTTGTCCTTGGTCTCGTGGAGCGTAGTCAGAAAAAATCTTGTTCATTATTCATTATTTAGTTTCGTTCGAATTTAAATTTCGCACAACTACGCCAGTTAGTACCAAGCTAGAATTACGAGCTAGTTGTATTTCGTAAATTAAACTATATAAAATTTTGCAGCTGAGGAAATAGAGAGGTCCAAAACTGAGACTAGATTTCTAATATATATATATATATATATATATATATATATATATATATATACTCTCGTGAGCAAAAAATTCGACTCAGACGACACATCTGTAGTCGCAAGTCGCTGGAAAAAAAACTGAAAGCAAATATATTTTTTTCATAGTAAAATCTTAAACCTGCTAGTATTAGCTTCAAAATGATATAAAATATTGTAAGGTTTATTGCTCACACAACCCAACAATATGTTGTAATCAGTAACCACCCTTTTTACGCTTGTTTACAATAGTGCTAATTAAGGGTTACTGACCCATATAAAAGGTTATCTACCTGACCCACCCTTATCAGTTAGCCGTCAACCGATACATATCTCCGTTATCAACAATCAAGAATTCTACCTGAAAATGGACACAACAAGCGATTTAGCAGCTCAAGCGATCACCCTATTGCGACAAGGCCAGAATCAGCGTGAAGTGGCACGTGCACTGAACATGAGCCAGTCTGCTGTTTCCAGAGTTTACCGTCGTTACCAGGAGACTGGTGGCTTTAATCGAAGACGCGGTTCCGGTAGAAAAAGGTGCACATCAGAGAGAGATGACCGATTTATTGTCAGCACATCGTTAAGAAATCGGGCCCTCACTGGCGTTCAAGTCCAACAAGAGCTCAGAGAAATGCGAGGATTAGCTGTGAGTGGCTGGACAGTCAGAAGATGACTTAAGGCAGCTAGGCTTGAGCCAAAAAGGCCAGCTACTGGCCCCAAATTAACCCCAGACCACCGAGCAGCCCGCCTACGTTTTGCTAGAGAACATGTTGATTGGACTGACGAACAATGGAGCATCCTTCTCTTCTCAGACGAAAGTAGAGTGTGCTTGCATGGTAGTGATAGAAGAGGACAAGTCTACAGAAGACCTGGGGAAAGATTCGCGCAGTGCTGTATCAAAGAAAATGTTGCTTTTGGAGGAGGTTCCTGGATGGTGTGGGCCGGCATTTCAAGCGAGGCAAAAACCGAGTTGGTTTTTATTGAAACTGGCGGTCGAATGGGAGGATTGACGGCGATCCGATACATCGAAGAGATTTTAGAGGATCACGTCGTTCCCTACGCCGCCGGTTTCATTGGCGAAAACTTACTCCTAATGCACGACAATGCCCGTCCACATACTGCAAGTTCCGTCCGGCAGTATTTACAGGAGGTCGCAATTGCCGCTATGGACTGGCCAGCGCGTAGCCCGGACTTAAATCCTATCGAGCATTTGTGGGATGATCTTAAAAGAAAAGTTCGGGCCAGAAATCCTGCACCAGACACGATGACGGACCTCAAAGCAGCGCTAATCGACGAATGGAATAGCATCGAACAAGATCGAGTAAGGAAACTTATTCGATCCAAGAAAAAGCGATTGGAAGCTGTTATTAGGGCCAGGGGGGGCAACACTAAATATTAAAAAAATAATTTTAATTAAATTATTGTTTTGACGAATTTTACGTGGTATTTTCTTTACCGTCAACCATCACTTTTTTTATTGCTTAAGACTCCATCTCATTCAATATTTTTTCTTTACCAGAAAACATTTTTTAATAACAACATAGACCACTCATTTTAAAGCTAAAACATAGAACTTTGAGATGTTAAAATCAGAAATATAATAAAAGCTTCCGATTTTTTGCTAGAGCTTTTTAACCGCAAGCGTGCGTCCTGAGTCGATTTTTTTGCTCGCGAGTGTATATATATATACATTATACCTACAAATATATATTTTCAGGCCAGACATTACCGCTATTCGATAGTGTTAATTATAAGGAAAATATTATGATACGTAGTAAAAAAATCAAAAAAAGACCTTTTATAGTGTGTACAAAATTTCCTGATACAACTTTTATTTTATAATGACATAGGTTTCCGCTAGAGGAACCTTTTTTTAATTTGTGGTAAAATTTTTGTATATTAAGCGCCATTTTTCAGTTATAAATTAATATATATATTCTTATTATTATTATATTTATAGCCAGTCTTACTATTTAAGTCATTTAAACTTTAGCCGGTACCAAGTCCATTACCTCTGCGATACTATCCAATGTCAATCAAACAGAAAAAAAAATTTTTTTCGAGCAAATGCTCGAATAATCTTAGGAATATGTTCATAAAAGGACAGAAAAAAGCTAAAATAAATAAATAAATACATATGTTGAGACATTAACACACAGCACCATCTAGTTCCATGGTAAGCTACGAGACCTGTGTTATGGATATCAGATAGTTGTTACACTACACATATATAACTTTAAATAAAATAAATAAATACATACATACTCGTATTATAAATATAAATGCCCAAGACTGGAGTACAAACATTCGTGCTCATCACACAAATGAATGCCCCCATTGGGACTCAAACCCGCGACCGTTGGCACAGCAAGTAGGCTCACTACAAACTGAACCAACGTGATACAACGACTGGTATTTATAATTGCATTCTAAACTAATTTCACGGCTAAATTTTAATAACCAATCAAAATTATTTCCTATGGGATGGACGTTATTGTTTAATCGAATTTCCATAGAAATTATTTATGAAGATATTATTAGTACTCGTGTGTTTGTGGGAATTGAATGCTTTAATGTTGAGTGAGTTGAATATTTACTACGTTTGGACTTTTTGATATATTCTTTAAAAGGTACGTATCAGCCCTTTTAACGTCCCACTGCTGGGCACGGGCCTCCCTGTAATACGAGTTGGCGGACTACACATGTCTTTCGAAAACTTACTAAGATCTCTCAGACATGCAGGTTTCCTCGCGATGTTTTCCTTCACCGTAAGGCAAGTGGTCATGTTGGAAATAGATAGATAGGGTTCAAACATCACAGTGGGGGAGGGAGGCTGTAGTGAGATATCACTCGATTTATTTTTTAGTTGAACTTCATTGTTAGTTGTTCTTTCGTTAAATACAGAAGGCTGGAGAAGTTCCCGCACTTTTACCACAGTGCAAAATTTTGTAGAATTAAATTAGATTATAGGTACCTGTATTTAAAGTAATATTCTGAAATTTTTTAAAATACTTTGTACAAAAAAATACACGTAATTTTAGATAGGAGGGTTAGTCTAAAACCTCACGACGTATCACCAGGGTGGAGGAGGGAGTTAAAAGGTGCTAAAACATCACGTGATTAATGTAAATCCGGTATCGGACTACAACTATAAATTCGGATGTGTTCGTGTGTTTTTGCATGTTTCTGAAATGCTGGACCGATTTGGATAATATTTAGTACACAAATAGACAATGACCTGAAGTAATACATAGGGCACTATTTGGCGCCTAATGAAATATCCCAGCAAAGCGAAGGTGAATCGCTAGTAAGCTATTATTATTATTCAAAGATTTATAAACTACTTATTTAAACTTTAATATTATTCTACAGAAAAAGAGTGCGGATCTGATGAAATACACAAATCTTGTACATTTTATGAAGAATATACGTGTTGGGAGACAGAGGAGTTAAATAATAGAGTTATGAGCGGTCCAAACCGACTCGCGCATTGCACTGCTGGGTGTTATTGCAAGTATGTTATAAATATATCTAAGTAAATAGCGACTCACCCCTAATTACGTTTTAACATTTAGCTCAGAGATGAGATATTTTCCCGCAGTAAAAAGTATCCTATATGTTGACCCGGATAACCAGCTATCATCATACCAAATTTCATCAAAATCTGTCCAGTGGTTTTTCCGTGATGCGGTCACAAACAGAAAGATAGACAGACAATAGTTGTAAAAATTATAGATTCAGCCGGTGTATCGATAATGATGACAATTTCAATAAGATTTTCCAAAAAAAAACATTTAATGTACAAATTCGGCTTAGTTAGAATTTTATTATATGTATAGATAATAGACTAGCAACTCATCCTTACTTTACTTTAGCCTCAGTTTTCATTCATAAGTTAGTTATGTAAACTAACTGCCGTGGTGGTCAAATGGCTAGCGTGTACGGCTGCACATCCAAAGGTTCTGGGTTCGAGTCCCGAGTCGGGCTAAGTCATTGAGTCATTCTGTTTCAGGAGTTGGGAAGTTGATAGTGTTTCAAACCCGTGCCAGAAAGTTCCATTGGAATTTGAGAGTGAATAGAGTAGAGAGTGCACTTGCTCATATGGAGTTAGCTGGTTTGCCAAATAAGGTATCCATATAAATAAAATGCATGTCACATCGGTTAGTAGGTAAAAGATTTTAAACCTAGACATTCAATTGATATTCGCGGATTCGATGCCCACGGAAAGGGTTTTTTTACTTATAAAACATTGAAGTAGTTTAGATGAAAACGCACATATAGTACATACATACAGGTCAAAAACATAACCCTCTTTTTGTGCTTCGTTGCAGTAGTAAAGGTTTTGTCAGGTAATCGAAGTAGTTACCTAATCAAAGAAATGTCTGGCAAAAAATAATATTTTGTAATCACGTACCATTCGTTCATAGTGAATTAGAATTCCAACTCATTTATGCTAATTTCAAAGCTCGTTTAATTGTTCAAAGCGTATATTTGTTTTATTAGTTCAATGCGGGCTGTAAATAAAGAGCATTCAGCCTATGTATTTGTCAAATTAGTGTCAAGTATTCGCCGTTGTATGTTAAATGTACACCATGTTATAAATGTGGAAGTAATTCTATTTGTTACCTTTTTGAGTACTGCTGAACAGATTTCGTTAAAATTTGAGATTAGGATATAGGCATCCTGGGATCAGACATAGTCTTGAATCTCGGTCCGCTTATCACGCGAGCCAAATATCGTAGTAAATAAATTTAAAAAAAAATATATATATTTTACGAGAAAATAATTTTTATTTAGCATTTTTTTTTTTTGGAATTGTGAATTTACCACCAGTTGTGAAGAAAAAGCTTCAGTAGAAAGAAGCCTAAGGATCGTTTTTTATTTGTAATTTTCAATTATAAAATTACGATATTAGTATACAATTATCTTTTAAGGGTCTGTTTGTAATGTAAAAAAAGCAGTTTTTACTAAATGCTTATTAATGTTATTATGAAAGTATATAAGGTACATATAAGAAAAAATTAATGAAATTTTTTTCCCGTCTATCTATCTGTCTGTCTGTTTATTCCAACTAATCTCCGAAACGGCTGGACTGATTTCGAAGAGACTTTCAGTGGCATATATTAGAGTATTCCACTTTTCTTAGCGGTTAAAATAAATAAAAATGTATTAAATGTCTTATAGCAAGAAATCAAAACTCAAGCCAAGCCTAGAGCAAAAGTTAGTAGTAAATAAATTTTATGAAATTTCAGAAAAAGTATGGTGCGAGCTTATCCTGGTGGCAAGTGTATAACAATGCTGGCATGTCGAGACTTAGGTCTACAGGAAGTATTGAAGAAAATACCTGATGAGATTTCTAATTTCTAACATAAAATTATCCATTAAAATTAGTGAAATTGTACAGGCAATAACAACCTTCAGTTGTTAATATTGTAATTTTATATAATTTTCTTTGCTTTAAATAACTTTAAACATGTAACTATCCTATATTAGGATTATACTCGTATAGTTTTGTTTTTCACCTAACTTAATCATAGAGTATGCATATGGGAAGAAGCGGGCCATTCCCAACACAAGTAAGTATCCTCGGATTACTTACGGGGAAGTGTCGAACACAAAATGTAAAGAAATAAAAACTATTTTTATTTATTTATTATTTATAAAATATTTTGATGTAACTTAAATAAATGGATATCATACTCAAGAATGTCTGTTAAACATTTAAATCATTATTTTTCCTTGGTTTTGCACTAAGTACCTAAGTACTGACTTACGGTAATGAATGAATGACGGTAATGAACTAAGATTAAAATAAATAATCTTAGTCCAATACATCGGTATTCCGATCAAAACCTAAAACCTGTGAGGAAACCTGCATGTCTGAGATAACCTAGGAAGTTTTTTGTAAGAAATGTGAAGTCCGCTAACTTGCACTTTGTCAGCATTGTGAACTATAATAGCTCGATCCCCCTCGTATTGAAGGGAGGTCCATGGCCAGCAGTGGGACGTTAAAAATGACTGATTATAATACTAAGTAGGCTTAGACAAGAATATATCTTGTATAATCTATAATAATGTCGTATTCACTGATTTCGGTCATCACGGCTAGTCTCATTGAGTGCAAAGTTTGTGTGGTAACATTAAAAAAAACTATATTTCTTCATACCTAAATACCGATAAGACGATAGTTTGACACGACTAGTGATGATGGCGAGATCAGATGTAGGACCGATGGCTAGATAAAATCCTAAGCTCTTTTATTTTTGGTTGTAACTTGTAACACAACGAACTTCTCGTCTCTGGACTATGGAGTGGGATTCGAACCGGCGACCCTTATCACAGCAAGTAGTACACTACAAACTGGTCCAAACGTGTCGACATAACATGAATAGTATAATTAAAACAATCAACACTTAGCTTTTCGGATTCTTCTTTACGACGTTTCTATATTAATTTTTGAGCAAAATTTAATCCAATCCGTATCTACTTTCAGTAGAGAAGGAATGCAAAAAAATTAGCTGTATAAAATTTTGTCTATCATTTAATAAAAAAACCATGAAAAATTATATAGATTCTAAAGACAACTTACCTTTAGCAATATACACAGCAACACAAACCGACAGACTAATTATTGTACAACATAAAGTGATTTTCAACATATTGGAAAATTATATATTCAGTTTTACAAACAACCGACGTTCACAAGATAAACTGTTATTATGTCAAACCAAACTAAGTTTTGGCCTTTACATTTGAATAGCTGATACAATTGTATAAAAAATCGTGTCATCCTTGAATGTAACGGATCAATGATTTAGTTGTTTCTAGCAATAAATTCATTTGTAAGTTGGTAATGATTGGCTCGACCATAATAGATGGATATACTATTATTTCTATTACACAACCACAATTTGTTCCATGAATGAGTTAGACACAGAATCCAACATTCATTCCAAATTGGTTAACAATATGCGAAGATAACGTGAAACACAATAAAACCGATTGATATAAGTTTATAAATCTACATATATATTATACTAGTGACTCATCCTCGCTTCGCTCAGGTTCGTCCCTAGCTTGCTTCTCAATACAAAGTTCATAACCATTTTCACCCCCTTAAGGGATGATTTCCGGGATAAAAAGTATCCTATATCCTTCCCAGAATTTCAAACTATCTTCTTACCAAATTTCATCTAAATCGGATCAATAGATCCAGAGATTACTCCCTAAAACCTTACAAACTCACAAACTTCACCTCTTTATAATATTAGTATACATATTATGTAGTGTATCCCTGACAAAAATAATTCAAATAAATATTACATTTTTTTATTAACTAGCGGCTTACCATCGCTTCGCTCGGTTGCGTCTCTCGCTTCCGCTAGGTACACGGATTGTGTTCATAATTTATTTTTTTGCACGAAACCCTAATTCTTTTTCTTAAATAAAAGTAGCCTTTGTTACTTCTTATAACATCAGCTCTCTGTCTGTAAAAGTCCCGTTAAAATCGGTCCAGCCATTTTGAAAATTAGACCGGACAAACAGACAGACAAAAATTTTAAAATTGTTTTTTTTTCTTCTTATAAGTACCTACTGTGTATACTTTTATATGCATTTAGTAAAGATCTGTTATTTTAATATTACAAATAGACACATCTCTACTTTATTATTTTATTTATTTATAGTACTAAATATCTACTATCCCCGTCTAGTACATACGTATATAAAAACTTTTTAACAAAAAAATAAAAACCGACTTCAAACAAAAGCACTAAAAAGTAAAAAATAACTGATTGGTAGTTTTCATTTACTATACATACCTAATCAAATATTTTCGAAGTCGGTGTGCTTTGCTTTGTATGAGCTGGCATCGATTTCGAAAATATTTCATTAGGTATGTATTTAATAGGTAGGCTTTAATTACTTAGCCAAAGCACACCGACTTCGAAAATATTTGATTAGGTATGTATAGTAAATGAAAACTACCAATCAGTTATTTTTTACTTTTTAGTGCTTTTGTTTGAAGTCGGTTTTTATTTTTTTGTTAAAAAGTTTTTATTTCTCCCTTTTTAGTGTAGACGGTAGTAGCATAGTAAGGATTCTAACGTGTTAGGCTTGTCAAATCAAACAAAATAAGCCCAAACTCAAAGTATCTACTATTAGCCGTTGAAGAGTTCCACCTATACCCAGTACCCACCTTCTGGCCTTGCCATCAGATCAGGTCAATAACACCAAACCACTCAACGGAAATAGAAATACTTGCAAAGTTTCAAGTCAATATGACAATTAGAAGTAGGTTAAATTCATCATTAGTTGTTTTTCCACCCTTAGGGGTGGTATTTTTTTTTGAAATTTAAATGGGACCAATCTGGAAGTATACCCTTTCAAACAAAACAAAAATTGTCCAAATCGGTTAATAAATGACGGAGTTCTGAGGTAACAAACATAAAAAAAAAAAAAAAAAAAAAAAACATACAGTCGAATTGAGAACCTCCTCCTTTTTGAAGTCGGTTGAAAATAATACGTTTCAGCCAGACAAGCAGACATGCAAATAGTATATTCTTTTATACCAAACAAGGGTTTCTTATCTAGTTAAATAATTAAAAAAAGTATATTTAACCTCGCAGATGTAAACGTGCGACCTCCGTCAAATCACTTAGAGCTACTCTACTTAACTGAACCGCCTCTAACTGTTTACATCACAAAAGGCTAACAATACTGTTTGCTTCATTCAATCAGGTAATGCGGTTAGATCGAGCTTCGTAAATAGCTTATGTTACAAGTATCTACTGTAAGACATGTAGTGTGAAAACTAAAAGTATTTTAGACTAGCTTTTGCTAGTGTCTTTGTCTGTGTATGTATGTATATCTTCTATGAGAAATAATATGATAAAACTATCTTTTCATATTTGGTCACTATTTTTTTTTTGTTCCCGATAAGTTGGGAACTAACTAACTAAAAGCATCAGTATCAGTTTGTTTGTTTTTTTAAATATGTATATGATTTATCCCATTAATATTATAAATGCAAAAGTTTGCACAGATGTTTGTTACTCAATCACGCCTAAACGGCTGAATGGATCTAGATGAAATTTGGTACAGAGATAGATTATAGTCTGGAATAGCAGATAGGTTACTTTTTATCCCGGAATAATGTACAGTTCCAGTGGGATAGATTAGTTTTTGTTTTTTCTTGCTAGTAATTTTATATATTAAAACTAAAAAAATATACATTTTATGAATGTTAATAAATATAATTATATACCTTCAGGTTGATGTCATAATGAAATCAGGTTTAGGTACTAGTAAAACCTATGAAGTCATGTTCAATTTGATTGGTTCTGATGAGCTTAATCACTGTAGCTTGTCAAAATTAAAAAATATTTCATATATTTTTTATCTACTTATATGATATTTTTTAACTAACTATAGGATTACAATGAATTCAAAATATTACCTAAATTTAAACTAAAATATAGTAGTAGAAAAGAATCCAGAAAACCATAGAGTTTATAGAAAACCTTGAGACCATGGTACCTAGAATCATCTATACATATAATAAAATTGTAACTAAGCCGAATCTGTACATTAAATATTTTTTGAAAAATCTTATTGAAGTAGTACATACAGTTGATACAGAGGCCGAATCTATAGTTTTTAGAATTTTTGTCTGTCTGTCTGTTACCGCATCACGAGAAAACCACTGGACAGATTTTAATGAAATTTGGTATGGTGATAGCTGGTTATCCGGGTCAACATATAGGATACTTTTTACTGCGGGAAAATATCTCATTTCTGAGAAAAAATACAAAAACTGCAATGTAAGAGTATACTAATATGTAAAACCTAAGAATTTGGTTTTTGGTCATCTGAACGCGGGCGGAGCCGCGGGCAATGCTAGTTTACTTATAAAACGTGCGTCATAGTTGTATTTGATTGAATGGCGCAAACACTTCAGTGGTGATCGAATCGTTATTAAAAAGACAATAACGGTTTATTACATCGTTTACTACGAGTATGTTTCACAATACTGCTTTATGTTTTACCGTACTTTGTTCCCGCCTTTAAGTAAATATTACCAAGCCAATGAAAATAATTTACGTACAATCTATAGTTACTAATATAAATATAAAATTGAAGTGTCTGTTTGTAATGTCAAAATAACAGCTTTTAACTAAATGTATATGAAAGCATTTATGGTATTTATAGGAGAATAGAACCTTTTTTTTAAATTTTTGTCTGTCTGTTTGTTCTGGCTAATCTCCGAAATGGCTGAACCGATATTGACGGGACTTTCACTGGCGGATAGCTGATATTGTAAGGAGTAACTTAAGTTACTTTTATTTTAGAAAAAGAATTAGAGTTCCATGCAAAAAAATTAAAACCCATGAGATCGTGAGCAAAATCCGCGTACCTAGAAACGCTCACGAGCGAAGCGAAGTCGCTGGTATTAGATATATAATACAACATTTTAAATCCTTCATTATTAATTAAAAATCATATGAAATATATTCATCTTGCCATGCCATGATTATTTTACTGTAAAACCTTTAACGTCACATTTAAATATAGTTCTTATATCCAACAAATAGAGGGGTTTTTCCTGTACTTTATACCAGGAAAGTGAATTAAGTAAACTAAAATTTTGATATGAGATTGATTTATGTTCCCGTTGTTTTGAATTTTCCAAGTTTACAAATTTTCATCTCATATTTAAATACAGAAATATTAATAGGGCTACTATACTATTATAAATATGAATATTTGTATGTATGTATGTTTGTTACTCCTTTCCATTGAAACGGCTGAACAGATTTCGATGAAATTTTGTACACAGATAGAGTATGGCCTAGAGTAACACATATATAGGTTAGGTATGAGAGGAGTGAGAGTAAGTAATCCATACTAATACTATAAATGTGAAAGTGTTTGTTTGTTTGTCCTTCTTTTACGTCGAAACAGAGTTCCGGATTAGCACGCCTTTTTGTGTGGAGATATTTGGAGGGCTGGAAAGCAACATAGGCTACTTTTTACTGCTAGAGATTGTCTCATTCCCAGGAGAAAACATGTTATAATACAACCCAAAAAAATAATTACGAGTATAACCAAAATTACTTGAAACTAGGTATTAATAACTAAATAAATTCTAACGAAATAAAGAATTACCTACAACCCTTTTTAACGTCCCACTGCTGGGCACGGGCCTCCCTTCAATACGAGGATATCAGGCCATAGTCCACCACGCTGGTCAAGTGCGGGTTGGCGGACTTCACATGTCTTTCGAAAACTTGCTAGGTTCTCTCAGACATGCAGGTTTCCTCACGATGTTTTCCTACACCATAATAGCGAGTGAAGCCAAGGAAAACAACTAGTAACACGATAAAAATTGAAACATTTAATTTAATTATTCCTCTATTAAACTCAGCAAATGCATATTGAATTCTATTATAATAACATAAAGTTGTATTTTGTTTATCTAACAAAGTTTGTAAGTTTATATTCAACATAGAGAAGGCGTTCCATCCATTACCACGACAATAGACGGTAGGTTAGTTGTAATTAATGGCTTAGTTCGAATAATTTTACTTTGGGTTTAGATTGTTGTAGACTATTTAATTATTTGAAATATAACAAGGAATATTAATAACAGACGAAACTT